AGTTGGTTGACATAAGCTCAGAAGATCCTAGGAAAAGGATTGTGCCCCACCCTACAACGAAAGGTGAAAACCCAACCATCTGCACCAGTCCAAGCCCTGGGAACAATTCCTTGCTGACCCTAACTCTGTTGATCGGTGTTACCTTGAGAGGAAGAGGGCTCCAAGGTAGAGTTCAGTCCTGGTCGAGGTGACCCGCTAGCTGGCAGCGTGCTAAAGGGGACCTTCAGCATATCCTCCATGGTGGCTTTCTGTCCTACCCATAGCACAGGTGCTTCTTGCGTGCAGGCTCCACTGGGACCATTAACAGCTTTTGCCAGGTTAATGAGGGTCCCTTACAGACCTGCTTGCTCCCTGTTCTCCGGCTGGGTTGCCATCTGACTCTGGCCAAAATCTCATCTTTCTGAGGTTTTTCTTGCGCACACTTTGCTTCAGGTGTGGAGACGCATTCAAGTGCTGGGGAGGCTATATAGGAACCATGCTCAGCTTTTGAGACTTGCTCAGCATTTATGTAAAGGAAACGATTTTGGAGGAGCACGCCTCCAAAACAGGGGCAGTTCTCGCTCTCGGGACCCACACACGCTGCAGCAACTGAGACCCAGCTCCTGAAGCGGGGTGTTCTCTGGTTTCAGGGTTGTTGGCTGTGTTGGACAAAGGACACAGGCAGACACGGTTCTTTGGGTAGATGTGATATCTTTTATTAGACCAGCTAAGTCATTCTCTGGTTTCTGCGTCCTTCCGTGACGGCAGGCCAGTCTAAGTAGGTTGAAAGGGGGGGGGTTTTGCAAAATGAGTGATGAACATAAGCAGTGGGCAGAGCGGTCTCTGTGCTGTCTGTAGTGATATTACATCTGGTTTCACTTTACTCTGCCTCCACACATTTAGCTGTTGAGGAGCTACCGATTTCTTTTGCTGATAACTCAGAGCTGCGCTGTACAAGTTGTCAGGAGTGAAAATGGAGATGGTAGAGATGGGCCGGGGAGGGTCGGCAGGGGGTGGCTTGGATTGCTGCGGAAAGCAGATTGGTAGGACTAGATAAGTAAGTTGGCTGGATGTTTCGGCTAAAATGAGCGGCGGTGGAATAAAGCCCACGAGTACCTGGGCCAGCGGTGCTGACTCTGCGGTGCAACCTGAGCCAGCGCTGAGCGCTCTGCTAGCCTTGCAGGCTGTCTGCGGGCACAGGATGATGATCGTGCATGGGCTATTTACGTTTGGCTTGCGCTCCAGAGTGCTTCTTCACTGCTACAAACACCGGAGACATGCACTGAATGAAATCTGAGTTGACAGAGTGCTTTTTTTCTGTGGCACGTGGGTACGCCCTTCTAGAGCAGCTCATGGCAGGAATATACAGGGCCCGGAGTCGTATCAGGCCCGGCTTGGCAAATGCTACAGGGCTTGTGCCTGCTTAGGTCAGAATTGAATTTGTCCTGGATTTTAAGTCTGAATAAAGCATCACTTCTGAGCTCGTCTGACATGCTCATTGTGTGGCTCTGCGCAGCGCACACCGGCGAGGATCTGGCTGGCAAGCCATGATCCAGCCCCACTCCATGTAATGTGGCCATCCTGCTGCCAGGAGCTTGGAAAGCAGGAGACAGGACACTGCCAAAGCCTTCTCCTGCCAAACTGTGTCCATTGCCTTTTATTCAGTTCAATTGATGCCAAAGAATTCATTGGGAGCCTGCTTTCTGCATCAAGTAGGATGAAAACCACTCTGCAAAGCTCAGCTTGCTGCCGGATTAAATATTGGACCCGTTCTCAGCAGAGCTCGGAGCGAGTCGACCTCCAGTGCTTGCAACAGCTACGCCCAGCACAGACTCCTGTCCTAAAAGCGTGCGCTGACCACCGAGGAGACGGGCTAGCTTCCAGGGTTACTTTTAGGTACCAAGGAAATGGCACAAGCATCAGTGCTCTTCTCTGGAAAGGAGAACTGCATTTCAGGGCACGATGCAGCTTGTTCTTGTACCTGAAAGGGGACAATTCTTGGCCCGATCAGGTTGCAGGAGACAGCAGCTTCCTCTCTGGTTTGTCAGAGGAGCTGAGGAAGATGCCTGGCAACACTTTATTTTTTCCAATTTAAGAAATGCACAACACAGCGCATTATTGTGTCTTATGGGAATAAACTCTGGCTCATTCATAAGTGCCTCGGAGGATGGGATGATTCTCCAGGTCGGAAGGCAATCAATGAGCTGATAAGAGCTATCTCTCCAGGCAAAGGTGACACTTTTGGAGCTTATGGATGAAGGCCAGTTCCTGTCTGCGGGGAGGATACGGTGTGTGCAGCAGCAGGAAGCGATGGGGAAAGTCCCAGGCCGAAGCGCTGCAGAGAAGTGGCCTGAGTCAGATCCACTCGGGGTAGCACCGGCGAGCTTGCGCTAACACCGCTCTGCGCCCAGAACGGAAAGAAAGCAGCTTGTCCTGCCATTCTTTACCATGGCCTGAAACTAGGCCAAAAAGGCCCGTTTTCTTCTCCACCGGAAATTTTAGAAATGTTCAGGGTTTTTCAAGACTTCCTGTGAATGTTTTTCACTTTTTTCCCATTGAAAACAAACCCTGCTTTTTTCCTGCTGCAAAAATTGCACGTCGTTCAGTCGCTCTTTGAGGCTTTTTATTTGGGATTTTTATGCAGAACTAGCGATTTTTGCCCCAACTGAACATTTTCCTGTTGGCCACAAAACCATTTTTCACTGGAAAAAAATACAGATCAGGCAGATCCACCCGTGCCACTTGGCGCCAGTGTCTCGGTGCCAGCTGTGTGGGATTGGATAAAGGTGTCAAAGTCAGCTATGGAGTCTGGGATTTAACTCAGTAGTGCTGGAAAGAGCATTTTGATTGATAAGAATAAGGACCCTTTGTAAAACTTGGACCTGAATTTGGGTGCTGATGGTAAAGAAACCCCTTGGCTCGGGAGTGTTTGTATCATCAGACCAAACTGATGCTGAGGCCTCTTGGTGCAAAAGTGGCAGAGCACCGTAAGAAAGGCTGTTTGTGGGACAAGGAATTACCTAGAAGGCCCAAGAGAAGCCCTAAAAGCGTGCTCATCCGTGCAGCCCAAGCAGCCTAGCCTTGGTCAGAGAAGAAATACAAACTGCGGGGACGAGCAGGAGCTTCACAGGGTCTCTGGAGCTGCACACAAGCAGCAGGTCCTCCTGCTACGCTTATCAATGGGAACCAGCTCATGCAGGCACGAGGCCCCGAGCCCATGGTACCAGAAAGGCTTTCAAGGACGCGGGGATGAGCTGCTGTGCAAACATCTAGGAGCAAAACTATTCCCAGTCCCACATCTCGTACTTAAGGGCCAAGGAGGCTAGGCAGCTGCCAAGACCCCACTTTGGGAACTGGGCCTGTAATCCTCCTTTCCATCTCCTGGCAGCCTGCGCGGGAGGCTGATTTGGCACGCCGCTGCTTTCATGGCAGAGCCCAATACTCTCGCTCTCCCATGGCTAGTGTGGCACGGTGGTGTGTCGAATCACTCCTGGCTCGTTCTCTTCCGTGCCCTTGAATATCGTTCTCATCCCGGGGTGTATCCCTTGGGACTGCTGGTTTTGAGCAGACGCCCTTTTGGCTGGGCTGCAATGAAAGGACAATTTCTCGCTCGCTCTCTTTTTTTTTTTTTTTTATTCTCTCAGGTATGTATTGCCAAAATACCAGCTAATTCCAGCACAGACCCACAGCTGGAGCACCCCTGAGTCTGGATAGTAGATGGGTTTCAAAATCTGAATTTTGTGAATGGCCTCTTTTTATTAGTATGGTCCATAAACTCTGATTCCAACAATGATGTATCTAGGTTGACCAATGTCTGATCTGAAACTCGATTTTGCCTCTTAAATCTCTCCGAAAGATGCACCACGGGGAATAATCCTGCACTGGCAGGCAGGGGACTAGGCACCCTGAAGGCTTTTTCCCCGTCTCTCTGCTTCCCCACGATGTGGAAAAGATCAGGAGGATCCCTTGGGACCGAGGGGTATGGTCAGGACTTCAGGCCCATCAGTTAGGAGTTCTTGGGTCTGTTGGTATCGAGTACGAGACGTCTGCTCTCCTCTGCCACCCGGTTCGGGAAGCCTCCAGACTTCTCTTTCCATTGCTGCTTTGGTTTTGCACATCTTGGTTTCTTTGCTTATCAAGCAAAATTAGATGCAGGGCAGGGAGGAGATGCAATTCCTCTGCCTGGCCTCCGGACAGACACCCCAGCACAAACAGCGACGGCGTAAGTGCCCAGCAATGCCCACACGGGCACTGCTTTCATAGTCATAGACGGATCACCTCCCGGGCTGGAAAGGGATCTTCAGCAGCTTCAGCCAAGGTTGTTACTGCTGCTTTGTGCCTCTCTGTACCCGATGGTACCGGTACCTCCATCGTTATACAGAGTGGTAGACAGGATTAAGAAGTAATCCTATAAGAAGGACTATAGAAAGTTTTGCCCCTAGTTGCCTCAGAGGTGGAGGTAAAGGAGAATAGTCTCGACAGCTGCAACCCGGTCATTGCCCAGGCTCCTTACCACGACTTCTGTCAAGGAGTCCAAGCAGTGTCCACACCGATAAGTTTTTCTGAGAAATATGTCAAAGACCAGGCTGGATACCAGCAGAAAAGGTAGCTACTACATTTTGAGCACGTCGCAAGCATAGAAACACAAAGAAGCAAACATTACACCGGAAACGGACAGGGGAAAATACAC